TTTCGTTCCTGTAATATATATTTTAAAAATATTTTAAGAAGTTTTGTTTGAAGAACTTTTCCAGTCCATGATGAACCGCATGACTTCTTCGTCAATTTTAAATTAAATTTAATTATTGACAATTCAAATATGTACTCGTTTGGATTTACATCTAGTTAGTTATTCGAATATCAGAAAAAATGGTTTTTTAGATGAATTAAGTGCAATATGACTATTAAGTTTTTGAAGTCTTTGGAACAACAAAAACCCTAAAACTTGAAAAAGTTCAGATTACCTAATGCTTCTGCGCTGTCAAAAGGGCAAACAACCATTCCGAAGATTCCGCAGTCAGGTATGTCATCTTCCGCTCTTGCAAATATCAGAGAGTTGCAACCACATCTTATTTGCTCTTTCAAAGCCGCACATTGTTCTATACACCGATGATAAGTATAGTCTTCACTGTATCTCAGAACTCCTCTTGTACCTTCCTTTATACAATTCCTGGTTCCGGAATTGTCGGCATACTGGAACAACCCAAGCCCAATGTTGTGAGAGTAACCTGGACTGATTTTAGTCCTGATTTTGTGTTCTCCGTATGAAAAAATTCTTCCAGGCATCACAAAGTATATCGAAACTTGCAAGTCGTTTTTGCCGGTGGCACTAGCTGATACTGGGTCTACCATGAAGCTGACTTGCAGGCGCTCGTACGGTCCGTACACGATCGGACTAGGCAGTGTTAGTTTATGACAGTACATTGCTTTTGTCTGTTGTTCTGTCCAAAATGACCCGTTCAGACAGTCTACGCCTAATAAAACACCGTTGGATATTATTAAAATTTTTAGATACACAAAACTTGTTGGTTGAAGTGAGTTATATATTTACTTAACATGAGAACAAGAATATTCGGTTACTGTGCAAAAAGCACATAAGATTGTTTTCAAATTAGTGTCGCTGTTTGTGTGTGGTGTGATAAAAGTATCTGAACAAAAAACTAGAAGATATATTCAGCAAGCAAAAATTATTATGTTTTTCAGAAGAATAACAAAAAACATCAATGGACTGTTGCGTAATGATGACTTTTCGCAATGCTGCTTTACTTCTGCAATGTTTAGTCTCTAGTTAGGTTTTTAATCCGACTTCCAAAGGAAGTGGCGTTTTTTTGTGCTCGGGTAGTTTTTTCTCAAACTTTGATATTTTAACTAGCTATATCTACGGCGATTTTTGAAACAATCAAAACGCGATACATTCCGCTCATACAACTGTAAGCAGTGGATAAATTGAAGTTAAATTGGCACATAAAAAATTATACAAAAAATGTGATAGTAGATGCAAAATATTTCACTTTCTAATACTCATTAGGTCTGGTGGGACATAAAGTTTCACTTTTTTGATTTTTTAAACAAATTTTGAGCCCAAAAACTTTCACTGCCTTGTGAGGAATAATTCAAAAAGTTTGGGTTTTGCCCCGATCCGAACATTTCTAATCCTGGTCAAAGCTCATATTGCAGGTGCCAGAGCCTGTAATAGTTTCTCAAATGAATTAATCAATTCAGTTTTTCACCCAAACTTTGACACTTTCGAACAGCTTGCTTAATTACCTTTCCATATGCAACGTATAAAAAATTGATCAAATTTTGGTAGCAAGCTTTTCATGAGCGTAGAAGTATCTCCAGCTGAAGTTGACTGATCAGTTCTTGTTTCATATTCATTTGCATAGTCAATCAGTGTTTTCTCAAGACTAGGCTGTACACCTGGAATAGAAAAACAGCTCAGTTCTTTTTCATAACTACCATTTTTGAATTTCAGTTTTTACCAATTCAACATTTTGACATTTTCTACTGTAATAAGACAATACAAACAATACAAACAAATTAAAATATAATCGTTAATATATACTTTTTATTATACTTTAGATCGACAAATCGCGCATTTTGACCATAACAAGACTGCTCATATCAGGGCAAAGGCCCGAATGTTCCGACTGCCCTTCAATTTGTCTCGGTTAGTTTTTGGTAAATTGATTATTGGCTAAACTATGATTTTTAGCTGATAAAATCATGAACCATTTGTTGCAATTTGAGTCGTGTATGGAAATATTAAACCAATAAGCTGGGTCAATTCTTTTTGGAACGATTTTGTAGTGCGGAATTATAAAACAATCATCTAAGTTTAGTCAACGACTATTCCGAACTAAAACCTGAAACGATCGAAAGCGTATAACGTCTTTTTTTACCTTTAAAACGTGACAATGTACCAAAGGAAGTGGCCGATATATTTTGCCCTTCTCTCTTCAAGCGTTTTGACATACCTAATTTTTTGTAGAAAATCTCGGGCCCACTAAATAAATTCATTGGAATCATTCATTTTTCATAAATTTTTTTCTTATTCTGTCTGAGTTTGTAACTTTACGAAGTGATTATATAGAGCAGAGAATATTTTAATGAGCGCGACTTAGTGGCTGATACTGGTCCGTAAACCTTTCTTCTCGCCTTTTCCCTTAAAGCCCTGTCTTGTGCTCTAGCGAGGATATCTAATTTTTGCCGAAATTTTTCTATCATTTTGGTGGTCTGAACAACAGTTTTTGGTCAACTTGGCTGATTTACAAATCTGCTTCAATTCATCAACTGGAAAAGTTGAGCTAGTTTTTGGATCTGATTGGGAAATTTTAATTTCAATTAGAATTAAATACAAACAAGACTGCTCGTATCAGGGCGAAGCCCTGAATGTTCCGACTGCCTTTTAAGGTCTATGAAGCAGAAATATGATGAAAAAATTAAATGTAAGAAAAAATGAAAAAAAAATTTTAAAAAATTTGAGATTTTTGTGAAAATCATCCTCCCACATGCCATATAAAGTACGAAGTGATAAATTTAGCTTCTAGTAACAAATCAATTATGGCAAATAGGCTTCTTTCAACCAATTTGGAACGATTTCTAGGACGGATTAATTTTACGCTTACGCGTTAATAGCGCGAAATATATCGCGCGTTAATCGGCCCAAATTGGCCATTTAAACCCCCATGACTTTACGAAAATTGATCACAGGTGAGATATCTTTTCAAATTTAAGCTCAGGACAACAATACCTTTTGAATGATATAAAAAAGTTCCGTCAAAAATGGCTAGTTAAAAATTTGAAATTTGTCTGAAGAAAAAAAAACCCACCCCGAGCACAAATATTCCGTTACTTTCGTATCGAAAGTCGGAACAAAAATCAGTTCAACACTTTGAAATATTAAGTTTGGGCAAAGAAAGTATAAATCGTTTTCGGTTGATCTGGTGAGTAAAATTAGGAATCAAAACAACCAATTTCGCAGCACCATTTACTCAAAATATTTCGAGCTCTCACTGAAAAACTAGTTCTCAAAATATTTGGAGCGGCTTAATTTGGCCTTGTTGTTTTAGAAAAGCTGAAGCTAAGTTTTTTACTGAATTTTGGATGATAGCGAAGGATTATTTGTGTCAACTTATTAGGAAACGGTTTTTTCAACAGTCTAAAAATATTGATGTTTTGAGCTCCAAGTCTACATCAATTTCTGCCAGCAAGGTTTTTATCAGATGATTGCCAAATTGAGGAGACTTGACAACTGCCAATTTGGGATCATTACTTACACAAACTTCCAGCTATCCATCAACGCGAAGCGTGCGCTGCCGACAACTGGAAAGTATTACAAATGCAACTGAAAGCTGCCAATTGATATAAGCTTAAATTTTTCAAGTGATATTTTTGTAGTCGGCATTAAGTGTGGGGAGTTCTTAACAAAAAGTTTTCGTTTTATTTTCCTTTTCGTATCGTTTTTGACCAATATAAATTGCTATAATTACGTTAAGCGGCAATCGCTTTGCTCTGATGCGAGCAGTCTTGAAATAGTTCAAAAAAAACTCCCAACAGGCAAACTCAAACTTCGACAGGCAAAGTATTGCCAAACGATAGGGCAATAAGTGTCTTTGCTAGCTCTCTGGGATTCCAAAGAACTTAAGTAAGAGCTCGAAATTTGTACTTACCGAAAAAAGCAGCCGTAACAGGATCCAGATTTGCATTGGTGTACAATTTGTTCCATTCTTTCTCCAAATGAGGGTACTTCTCAAATGCGGCCGAGATATTTTTCCGAATGGCGTCTCGTATACCCGAGAAGATTGGATGCTCAGAGAAACGCAAACATTGGGCCAAAAGTTCCCGGGAAAAAGTTTTCAAACGCTGTCTGATTCGGCAAGACGGGACAAAACATGATTTCAGGCATCTGAATTTCTTCATGATTATGATAATTTAAGTCCGTTTGAATTGGTTTCTTTATTATATACGTATCAAAAGACAATACGGAGAAATAGACGAAAATACCAAAAAACGAACAGCATATGGCCAGCCAGCATAATTTGCTTCGCCACAGCCGCGGACCTAACATATTATTGATTCCATGGAAAGAGCTATCTATTGCAAAGCTGCGTACTATTACGGCAACTTGTTGAACCATCTTGTTTTTAGGCCCGTGTGCAAACTACCTCCACTTGAAAATTAACACTAGTTTTTGTTATTGCAGCTCAAAAGTTTCAAAATATGCTGTTGTAATTCAATAACCAATGAAATTAAATTTTCTTTTTTTTTTCAAATTACTTTCTGAATGAGACTAAATTTTTCAAAAAAAAGAAAGCAAATGAATTGCTAAAATTTCATGAATTAAAAATGAGATTTTTGTATGACAGTGATTTAAACTTTTTAGGAACTAAATAAAACGTCAATCATAAAAATGGATTTTAAGCAAACGTTTCCTCCAGTTCAGGAGCGGATACAGGTTCTTTTCGAAGTGGGGAAGTGGAGTTACTGCCCTTCGCGAAGTCCGCCCCTACTCCAGTTCAAATCGATTGAGTTCTGCATGCATACTTTTGAAATGCTGGCTCGAAGAAGCCAACAAATGAGTGTACTTCTGCTAGATTTCCAACACAAACTTTTTAAAGAAACACTTTGGTAGTAATTCCTGGAACTTGAGTTCAATTCGGTCTTAGCAACAAGATTTTGTCAAAGCTAAAAGTAGATGAGTAAAGGTATTCCAAATGTATTTCTCAATTAGATGATATGTTTACAGATAAAACTCGAAGGATTCATACAATTCGACATGTACTATAAGACCCATTTGATCAGTGTTTCTAAGGTGTGATTTAGTTCTTGTGGTCTGAACTGTTCTGATAGTCTACTTTTTCTTGCCCTTGGCCGATCCTTTTTTGCTTCCTTTGGCTGAGCTCTTGGGACTCTTTTTGCCACCCTTCTTGCTGGCTGAAGTGGGTTTTTCCGCCTCTAGGTTGACTCCGTTCTCAAGGGCGGATAAAGCATCTTGCTTCTCTTGTTCAGCTTGTAGGATTCTCTGTCTGTAGGCCTCCTTCCTAGCAGCAATTTCAGCTCTGGTCTGGTCTACCATCTCCTGTGAGAAACAGATTATACTAACAAAACAATTTCACCCTAGTTTATAGTCCTAATGAGAGAATTAAAACAAAAAACCCCAATGGAAGAAGGTGCTCCCTTCAGTACAGCTATAGTAGTGAAACTCCTACCTCAACTAAGCATCTTTTAAAATCATTAGCAGACTAAGAGGGCGGGCGGACACCTACATACCTTGGGAGAATCGACCCCCTAACTACACATATAGGACCACCTTTGGTAGTAATTTCCGAAATCTTTGTTTGGTCGATTAACCGTACAACTTATGAATCAAGGAGCCAATATGCACTAAATTTGAGGGTGGAGCGAGGGGGAAGGGGGCTAAAACAGGATCTTTACAGAGTTTTGGGAAAGCTCAAAAAATCTATTTGGTCAACATAATTTTTTTAGGAAATTTTTTGGGCTACCCATCTCAACAAAAATCTAGATCCGCGTCTGCCTGAAATCCAACAGGACAACATATATCTAAAATTTGCTGCAGTATATTAAACTTAATCTTTTTTTAGACTATTGCTCCGAAGGAAAAGAATATTGGTGCTTGGGAATTGATGCACGTGTTTTATTTTCTTCAGCCTAACTTCGACCTTAAGCTAGCCAATTTTGACAGCAACTTTTTCATATCTTCTGAAAACTTCTAACTCCTTGCGGTTTGAAAATTGCCAATATGGGATAATTAACGCTGGATATCTTTCAGCCTATAAACGTGTCAGCAGCTATTTAATCAGGCTCAAAAATCGAATTAATCCAAGTTGAATTACGACTAGCTATTTGGTCTTATAATTACATCACTGGACGCTAAATGGATCACCATGTATACAGCGTCGAGGCAATTTAAAAAAAAACGATCTAACTTCAAACAAATGCAAAATCAACAAAACTGCTTGTATCAAAGAGACTGCTTGGTTTGCAAAAACTGATCAAATCAAAAACAAAACATAACAAGACAGCTCGTTTCAAGGCGAAGCCCTGAACAATCCGACTGCCTTTTAAAGTCTATGGAGCAGTAATAACATGAAAAAAATAAATGTAATTAATAAAAATGAAAAAATAAAAAAAAAATTTTTTTTGAGATTGTTGGTGAAAAACATCCCCCACACGCCATATAAAATACAAAGCGATAGATTTCGCTCCTAATAACAAATCAATAAGGGCAAATACGCTTCCTTCAATCAATTTGGAACGATTTCTAAATTTCCGGTTACGCCTTAACAGCGCGAAAAATATCGCGCGTTAATTATCTCGAATTGGCCAAAATGTCAATCTTTAAACACTCATAACTCTATGAAAAATAATCACAGGTAAAATATCCCTCCAAATTTGACCTCAAGACAATAATACATTTTGATTGATATTAATATTTTCGAAATTTGTCTGAAGAAAAAACCACCCCGCGCACAAATGTTCCGTTACTTTCGTTACGGAGGTCGGAACAAAAAAAAATAATTGTTTGACCAAAAAAAAATTTCCCACACGCTATGTAATGTACAAAGTGATGCATTTAACGCATAGTAAGGTTTTTTTAAGACCAAAGTTTTAGAAACGCTTTAATGACAGAGAATATATCACGCTTTCCATACCCTGATAACACTATTAAATACAGGGACGAAGCTGTGCTTCACAAACACTAGCGAGAACACGACAAAAAACTGCTTTATGAAGTGTAAAAAGAAAAAATCGATGACTACGATTTTACGATGAATTGGTGAAAATTCGGCTACGTCTCGGATTGGATCTGTGACCTAGAGATTAAGAGTCTCACACACACTAACCACGGACTCTTAATAAACAACAAATACTAGCCACAAAAAATGCAGAGAACAGATGTTATGAAATGTCCAATATTACAAATCATTGTTGTAGTGAAACTGTCACCAAATGAAGCACTTAGCGACCAAATAATGAACATTTTTATTTGCCAGTTAGCTTAGAAAAAAAGAAGGTTCGAACTATTACACTAAATTCAAATTGCAATTTACAAATTGCCAAAAATTGTCACTTTTGTTCAGCTTAAATCAAAAATGCTTAATTGAAAGGAAAAAACAGTCATTGATGAAAACTTGGAAATCAACTTTAGGCTGAACTAATCAAATATTTATATCCTGAACTTGAGTAAAATGAAGCGTTAGATACTTAATTTGATTGCGCAAATAAAAACATTATTGAAATTGCTAATCAAAGATTTGTGACAACGATACACAGTTCCACTTACAACGACTGACAATTTTATCTCGGGTGAACAAAACACAAGATCTAATTTAGTATTGCCTGTTGTAGTTTAAAAAAAAACTCGGCTACGTGTAGGATTCCAATCTAAAACCTACGCAAGCAAGGTTTATGAGTCTCACGCACTATTCACTCAGCCACGCAAACTTAACAATTGACAAACACTAGTCACAAATAAAGCAGCTAAAAATGCTGATATATAGCTAATGCTATTGAGCAAAAGTGGAATCAAATACAAATAGACAAAATGTTGCAAGTAAAAATTAAGAACATAACAAACTGATGGCATCTACACTAAGTTTGCATGTAACAAATCGGACAGCGAAAAACCACATTATGCATAACTTATGCATTTCAAAAATTGCGAGATCTATTGGGTTAGGAAAATTCTGAGTTTTCATTATTTTTATGTTGTTTGAAACAAGTCATTTTTTTTCGGTGAGTTAAAAAGGCATCAACAGCGTTAACTAATTATTATTCGAACGTCAAAGCACATGCTATGAAAAAACTGTATAGATACCGCAAAAATGGCGCCAATATTTGCGACTCAGCTTGGGAAAAAGAAGGTACGTACTAATACACTTGCTTCGCATGTGTAAACAATTTTTCCATCGGTTATAAATTGTAACTGACCCGGGAGTTTTCATACTGAGGCGTGAAATCATTCATTATTACAAAAGCTCCAAAATTTCATCTACACCAATAAATTACATCAATATTTGCGACTTATATTGGAGTTCATACTATATTACAAACTTTGCTTGTGAAAAAATACACGTAAAAGTCTTGTTGTGATTTGTTTTTAACTAACCTAAATGACCTTCGGTATAAATTAAATACCAGTTAACTTTGTACGATACGACTATCGGTAGATCGTAGAGTGTTCGTTCAGTTTAGTTTAGAACGTCTTAAATTCACACTCTATTTTATCTGTTTTATTCTTTTAAGTAATTGTTCATTAGCTGTAAAAAACTCATAGATTAACAGAAACCTATTGATAATTCTAAATATAACTTCAGGAGCATTACTTTCTCGGACAAGGTTCTTTTACATTTTGTCTTTAAAATCAAAAACTTAATCTCTCAAAACAAGAAAAACATTGATACAAAAAATGGAAGATATTACCGGCCCTCTCTTTAGAATTCCTGAGGAACATAACATCGCCTTAAAATTTAAAGATCACCATCTTCTAGACGACCATGCAAACTTGCTGAAGAGATTTAAAGCCGAATTAAAACTACCCAACTCTCCGTTATTCCCTGAGGATCACTGTTCCAAGAAACTTTTACAACTGATGACGAGAGAAGACAAAGTTATTTGTGACCTGATTGACACAATAAAAACCGGACAACCAATGAGCATTCACGGTACCTACGTGAAAAATTTCTCAAAGGACCTTCACGTGAAAGATGATTTATTATTCCTAGATAATAAGTTAGTCCTGCCGGCAACAATTAGGGGAACCTTCAGCGCAATGCTACACGAGACCCACCCAGGCCAATTCAGGATAATGTTTCTTGCAGAATACATTTGGTGGCCTCGTATCTACCGAAAGATATATCACCACGGGAAGTCTTGTGATAAATGCCTGAAAGCCGGTAAGAACCTCAAAGTTTTGCTTGGTACCGACCATACTACAAAATTACCGACGCTGACGTTTGCGAACGAGGAAATAAACCTGGTCTACGCAGGACCTTTGGACCCGTTTTGTGGAACAAAAATTAATTTCTCTTATTTTGATCGCTTCACTAAGTTCCCATCGGCCAAGATAGTAAAAAAATACTTCTTCAAACACGGTTATCTCATTTTTAAACGATTATTGTCACCTTCACAGTTTCCCAAGGAAGATAAGAGTCAACCACGGGTCATAATTTTAATCACACGATTTTGAAAATTTCTGTGAAAAATACAACATCGAAATCATTTACTGTACAGTCGGCGATTATAGATTTAATGGGCTTGTGGAAAGGCTTGTATATACTGGAAGTTCTAAATTATTAGCCATGTCATTTGATTTACCAAAACCTTTATTAAATTCCTCGATCCAAAAAATTATCTGGAACCTCAGAATTACAAAACAATCTACAATCGGTTGTACTCCGTTCGAGAAACACTTTAATCGAACGGCTAACACTAGATGGAAAAATCGGATTTCCTTTAATAACCGTTTAGATAAAGGGAAATGACGTGCCAGAAATTGACGTGCCAGAAACTGGGAACTGCACGACGGTGCGGAAGACGGTTATCTTAACGCGAACATGGACACCCAATCAGACCCGGAAAAAAACCTGCCGCTAGCCCTGACAATACCGAGTACCCCCGTACCAGAGGTGCACATTCCGGGCAAAGGTGCACTAGTTTCCGGAGGTAAATACTATAGAACGGCTACCACCATAAAAAATAGGGCACTTTATTTTAATCTGGTAAAGGAGGACATCATTGACTCATCCGAACACACAATAACACTTGATAAGGGTCACATTTTACGGAAATCGGACTTAGCCTTTAAAGGAAAACTACTCCCCGGTCCTAGAAAAATTGCCGTGTATCAGTCACCTATCGGGCACAATATTACTTTACATTCGAGTTTAGCAGGAAAGAGGAAGCTATCTCCACCAAAGAAGACAAAGGTGACAGACCACTCTCAGCCAAGGCAAGGCACCTCAAGAGCGGATGGGCCCACTCAAGTGTCCGGTTCGTCAAAAGATGCAGCGAATACTCACGACCTCACACAAAATACTTCAGGTTCTTCGTCGTTTCGTCATCCTTAAACTTAAACTCTTGGGGCGGAATAATAGACGACTATGTTGACGATATGACAAACAATAACGTACCGCCCGGCCATCAAGCCGATTCTAACCGAGGGTTAAGTATTATAGGTGATGATCACACTGCTCGCATTAGGCCCAATCTCACTGTCGATACAGATCAACCGGCGGTCATAGACGTGCCAGACACTGCGAAAATAGAAGGCTCCGAAAGCAATGACATTCTGTTGGACAGTACCCCAGAAGATTCAGCCACCTTGGAAGCTCAACCAAGACAGTCCAGACCACGCAGGAACGTAGGACCTCCTAAATTCTTCGGAGACCTGAGATACATAGACGTTGTGCTAGAAGGAGATGACCAGACCTCCCATTCACTCACAGTAAAGGGCAACACTTTTAACTACCCCAGGGCAACCTTTACCATAACCTCACCTTCGGACCTCTTAACACCACTAGCGGAGGCACCACAAATAACTACCCTAGTCGCAAAACCTACCCTATCCTGGTCATCCCAGAAATCCTGCCCATTGGAACGAGCAAAATACATCCCAATTCAGTCAATTTTGAAGAATACTTCCTTCGGATCTTCTTCATCACTACAACCTACCAGTAATGACACACTCGACGATGTAGAAAGAACTGACAACATTTCTTCGACTTTTGACACAGACTTAAAACTCAGACTAGATGATTTTGACGCAAGATTTACTTAAACTCCCAAAACTCGTTAAAAACTTTTCTTTTATTTTCAGTTTATAGCATCCATTTCTATCAACCTTCTTCAATGTAGTTAATTTTGTACATGTTAAATGTACTCATTGAAGATTAGTGTTGTTTTATATAGTTAATTTTTTTTATCTTCTGTAAAACTGTAATTTCTGTATATTCATCCTGTACACTTGTACTTTCCTATTTCATTTGTATATTCTATTTTGCTTGCTTTATTATTTTTCGGCCCAGTTTGTAAAACTTGTTCCTACGTTTAGGGGGGAAAATGGGTGTATATAGAATTAGTTAGTCAATTTATACTATTATTTTTTTCCCGGTGGGAAATTTTGTGATTTTTTATCTATCCTAAATGACCTTCGATATTAATTAAATACCACTTAACTTTGTACGATACGACCATCGGTCGATCGTAGAGTGTTCGTTCAGTTTTGTTTAGAACGTTGTAAATTCATACTCTATTTTATCTTTTTTATTCTTTTAAGTAATTGTTAATTAGTTGTACATAACTCGTAGATTAACAGAATACTTTATTAAGTCTTTCGACCAAACTCCTGGATTTTATCTAAAATCTCGAAATGGAAAATGTCAATTCGAAAAATCAGAAGAGAAAAAACTCCCCAGGAAACTTTTGTTTTGACCTGATTTCCGGTTTGGCAGGGTAGTTTTGTAGAAAGTGAAAGAAGTTAAAAAAACGGTCAAATATCAAAAATTGGACTTTTCGAGTTTCACGCAATTTTTATACCAAAATTAGGCAGTAATCAATTGAACTCTTAGTCTTAGAATTGGCAATGTCGTTTTGGAGAAAGAGGACGAAGTCCAAAAAAAAACAGGTCAAAAGTCTCGGAAAATTGAATCTTAACAATGCAGGAGGGGCGTAAAGTAGAGATGGACTGGCGGAATATACGGACACCTAGAAAAGAAGCTGATTCTTCCATTAGCACCACTTTTGGTTTTACAGAAAAAATTTAAAAAATGCCAAAACCTTTAAAAAACAAAAAAAAAATGAAAAAAAAACCCAATCCTATACAATTTAAAATTACCTGTATTAACAAATACAAATTTGAGTTCAGGGCGTCATTAATTTGCAGGTGACATAAAAATTCCCGTTCAAAAGGGGCTTGATAAAAAGTCGATATTTGTCCAAAAAACACAGCACATATATTTCGTCACTTTCTTCGAAAATCGGAACTAAAACTATTTTATAGACATTCCGTATGTTGGTCCTTTCACTCGTGGATAAATAGCCTTAAAGCCCACTGGCATGCGCAGAAATTTTTTCAGGGGGGGGGGGAGTTTTCGAAAAAATTTGGCGACCTTTTTTTAGGTCGAACAATTTCATTTTCTGAGCTCTCCGAAAATACTATACGTACCCTATGTAATTTTTTAAAATAACAGGTCAAAAAAACCGTTTTTAGGCACTTTTTGGAAGATTTTGGCCAAAAATAGCGTTTTTTCGGCGCGCGCACCCCCTCGAAACTATTCTTCAGATTGGCGCCAAATGTTCCTTTGGAAAAATTTTGATGTTGGTAGGCAAAAAACGAATGTCGTAAAATTAGACCAAAAGGGGCACCCTTTGGAAAAATTTGGCAACCAAAATTGAGGCACGCTACTGACCTAGCCTAACCTTTTGAAATATTAAAACAGCACATAAATAAGAGATGTGGCACATAAACTACACTGACCTGTAGTGCCTCGTAGTCCTGTATCTGTTTGACCTTCTCCTGGTTCCGCTTCTCCAACTCCTCCTCCCTCCGCCTCTTCATCTCCTGCCTCACTCGGTTCCACTCCGAGAACTGCCTCACCTTCTCCTCCCTCTCCCGACTCAACTCCTCCTCGTCCACCAACACTCGCACCCCGTCCTTCGCTTTACTACACCAAACATTCCAATATATCGTAACATGATATTGTGATATACTGTTGGTACTAATTAAATAGTCGAGCAATATATAACATAACGTGAATGTACGTTTTTTAAACAGTTTCAACAGTCACGATTATTAGTGCGTTAAACATAATCGCTGGTTATGGTCTACCACGCACTGAAATTATCTACCCAACGTTGAGTAACGATGTATCATTTTACTCGACGAAATATATTGTGACTTATTGTTTATTATAAAGTCAACAGCTAGTCATCAATAAAAAAACTAAAATGAGCTCGTTATAATTTATCACCCACTAAAAATTGTCTACTAACCATTCACTACTTAGCAATCAGTTCAATTTAAGAAAACCATGATTTGCAATTTTCTTTTTGGATAAATTTATCTCCATTTGGAAGGAAACTGGATTAGTAGGCAACTAGTAATTATCGCACGTCATTGTTTAGGAAACCGTACCAAAAAAATTTTCGAAAAAACTCAAGGAAACCAAAAAAATGTTAAACTTTGCCAGGATTATTTTCAATTTTCGAGTTTAACAGAAAAATATATATCACCTTAAAGCTATCTCAATTTCAAGATTCTTTCATAATTGAAACCTTTTTAAATTAAAATAATCAGATCCATTAGTAATGTTTTATTGTGCTAAAAAATAGAAAACTAAAATCCTCATTTGAAACAAGAAAAGTCAAATTACTATTTTTTCGCCTCATTTAACTTTTCCAATTTTATGCATATAGAGATGGAAAGTTAAAAAATTCAGATAAAATAAAACTCAGTTCTACTTCACTCAAAAGAAATTTATCATAGCTATTAAAGGTCTCCTGCTCAGCAGAATTTTTTTCAAAAAATCTTTTAGATATTTTACAGTTTTCTTCTTATCTTATACCAATCAAAGTCAATGAATATATAGTGACAACTAATTTAAGATCTTACATGGTGTAAGGGGTCAAATCTAGGGGCTTCAAAACTGTCTTCGGAGGTGGCCCAGGCGGGGGTTCCAGGGTCAAAACTTCCGGAACCTCGGGTACCTCAGACGCTCCAGCAGCCCCACTGTCCTCCGTAATTTGTGTTGTTTCTCTGTTCATAGACTGCTTTCTACTCTTGCCAGAGGCTACAGACTTGCTGGTTGCTGAAGCGAATCAAAGTTAGTAGCTTGTTATGATTTTTATTAGCAATTATTCACAAAAATTGTGGTCAGTTAAAAGTTACAAAGATCAGTGAATTTTACTGCTTTTTGTATGGTTGGAACGACTTATCCTGGATCATAAAACCCAAAATCACAAATATCCTATCATTTGCTAAGCCTCCGGAGCTTTCGTTGGCTCAAACTAAATGTACAAGTGAAAAATTACAAAAATTTGATTCGTAACCGAGAGTTCTCTTCATAAACTTCATTTATAACTGATTTGGAAAAAATGAATAATTGACTTTAGGCCCGGGTGTTCTTCTCTTAGAGTAATTTTGGATTAGGTACACCGTCTGTTCGTCACGCTAATCTTATTTTTGGCCGGATAGATTCGTGTAACTTCTTGTCTAATACCAATCCTTATCTTACTCTAATATATTCTAGTCTCAAAAGATCTAGAATATACTGGTATTCTTGTGAACTTAGAGGAGAGAAGAAATCAACTGATTTCAATCTGTATTTTAATTTCTCTGGCTGAAACTATGAGTAGTTTCAGCTGTACAATCTATCGTAAGTTTTAGTAATGGATCATGATTGGTTAGTTATAAATATTTTACAGTGATGAATATCAAGGTATATAATAAATACTTGTTTTGAACTAGCTCCATAATGGTTTTGAAATCTGACCACGAAAATAACTGTTTCTGGACAACTACGGGGAAAAACGACATCTGGAACCTTTTTCAGTCACTTTAATTCGAGATTTATCAGATCTAAACTATCGGCAAGCGCTGGTTCAAGTGCAATTTACCGACGGCCCGCAGAGGACAAGCGAAGCGGAGCAAAATCTTGCGTTTTTTATTTCCAATATTTCATGCTTTTGCCTTTCATTTAATTTCTTGGTTGTCTGCTGTTCCGTAACGAAACGGCGCCAGTCATATCCGCATCATAAAACAAAATTACTTTTCACTTTTCAAAAAAATAAAATATACGTCAATCAATGCAGTTTCCTAAAACATACGAAGAAGTACCAGTTATCCGGCTTTTTCCTAAATAATTGCACCATAAATGCTTTCAAATTCATGAACACAGCTGAAACTGGCAATTTAATTCAATTAATTGCCTTGGATGGCAGTAAATTAGGATAGTTTATAACGTGTCTAAAAATCTTATAAAAATATTAATAGATTGTTGGCAATATAGATTCCATTGATAGTGAGAGTCTATCATATAACTGAAATTCTAATGAACTGCCTTAGTTTTATGATAAATATGTTATAATTAGTTCAAAAATTGCAGACTAATCAGTCAGAATCAGCTCTAAAATTGTGGAAATTTGCAAAGCTGCAGAAATCAATTCAGAAAATGTTGAAGACTGCAAACAAATCATTTCCGAAATCAAATCTTTAAAAACAAATCATTAAAAACAAATCATTTCCGAAAACGTTCGAAAAATGCATGAGCCAAATAATAGCAGCCGCACCGGAGTTTCATAAATAATAATCGATTATAATGGAAAAATGTTGTCTAAAATGTTTTCATTATAATCCATTATTGTGGCAAATTTAGACCACGAAATCGATTATATGGATTGTGCTATTATTTTCGTAAAAGCACAATCCATTAAATATATTATAATGGACTATAATCCATTTAAAATCCATTACAATAGATTATTGTTCCGACTTTCGATACGAAAGTAACGGAATATTTGTGCTCGGGGTGGGTTTTTTTTTCTTCAGACAAATTTCAACTTTTTAATTAGCCACTTTTGACGAAATTTTTTTATATCATTCGAAAGCTATTGTTGTCCTGAGCCTAAATTTGAAAAAATATTTCACCTGTGATCATTTTTCGTAAAATTATGAGGGTTTAAAAATTGCCATTTTGACCAATTTGGGACTATTAACGCGCGATATAATTCGCGCTATTAACGCGTCAGCGGAGATTTAATCCGTCTTAAAAATCGTTCCAAATTGGTTAAACGAAGCTTATTTGCCATAATTGATTTGTTACAAGGAGCAAAATCTATTGTTTTGTACTTTATATGGCGTGTGGGTGGATGATTTTCATCAAAAAAAATTTCAATTTTTCGAAATTTTTTTTTCATTTTGTTTTATTTCATTTATATTTTTTATGTTTTTTTTTGTTATTACTGCTTCATAAACGCTAAAAGGCAGTCGGAACTTTCAGGGCTTCGCCCTGATACGAGTAGTCTTGTAATCCAATTAAAATCCATTATAATTTATTATAACGGATTAGAATCTATACATTTTTTTGCAAAATCATTTGCAAAACTTGCAACATTTCTGTGTTACTCACGGCCTACTCGCAATCTAAACCTAATCGAATAAACCCCCTCCCCACTTTGCCACCCCCCCCCCCCCTCCGCGTTTGCCCAAACCCCCTCCCCGCTAAAGTTTATCCCAACCTCCCCAAGTTACAGTCCCCCCAGTTTGTTTACCATTTTCAACGGGGACGGGAAGGGGAGTATACTCAGTTGTTCAGGTTACCCTCCCGCTCACATTTTTTACACCCCCCTTCTCACGTTCAGTAATCGGGAGGGGGGTAAAAATAAGATGGGGCGATTAATTTGAGGAGGGGGTAAACTGGGGGGGGGGGATAATGGCGGTTGTGGTAAACTGGCAGGGAGATGGGGGCGGGGGGAGGGGTTAAACGGGGGTTTGTAAACAGGGAGGAAAACTTGGGGGGGGGGGGGTCAACATGGAGGGGTAAACGGGGTATATAAGACAAAAACTATAAAACTTGAAAAGTGAAATGTAACATTTTATGAAACCTAATAAAGCAACTGCTTAAACAGGAAATGCGATAACTTCGAAGAAACTTGTAAATTTCATGACTGACCTCTCAAAAAATTCTTTATAATTGATTATAACCGATTATAAGCGATTATATTGGCATAAAAATATACCCCATTTTTAATGGATTATAATCGATTATAATGGATTATATTGATATAAAAAATAAATTGTCCCAAATTGGTCAAAACGGCCAAAATGGCAATCTTTAAACCCTCATAATTTTTTATCATAACGTAGGATAAAAAAGACATCACCTTCTGAGCTGCGACCTTAAAATCAAATCAGTTTTGTTAATTTAAATACAAACAGAGAAAATAAATAAGCAACAGTTAGCAGCAATTTTAAACAAAAATGTACCATAAATTATGGGGCAGTGTTTCTACAAATACGCTTGAAATACAATGATTTATTAGAAAGTTTTACTTTTTTCCTTGCCAGTAGCCACTGGCAGGGAGATGGGGGCGGGGGGAGGGGTTAAACGGGGGTTTGTAAACAGGGAGGAAAACGTGGGGGGGGTCAACATGGAGGGGTAATCGGGGTATATAAGACAAAAACTATAAAAATTGAAAAGTGAAATGTAACATTTTATGAAACCTAATAAAGCAACTGCTTAAACAGGAAATGCGATAACTTCGAAGAAACTTGTAAATTTCATGACTGACCTCTCGAAAAATTCTTTATAATTGATTATAACCGATTATAAGCGATTATATTGGCATAAAAATATACGAAATATAACCCATTTTTAATGGATTATAATCGATTATAATGGATTATATTGATATAAAAAATAAATTGTCCCAAATTGGTCAAAACGGCCAAAATGGCAATCTTTAAACCCTCATAATTTTATGAAAAATGATCACAGGTGAAATATTTTTTTCAAATTTAAGCTCAGGACACCAATAACTTTTGAATGATATAAAAAAATCCCGTCAAAAATGGCTAGTTAAAAAGTCGAATTTTGTCTGAAGAAAAAAATCCACCCCGAGCACAAATATTCCGTCACTTTCGTATCAAAAGTCGGAACAAAAAGTGCTGCAAATAAAGCCGCAATTTGTATCATTGTCTGAACGAACAAAGTTTATAAACACGTTCTTACAGCATCTGGCGTCGTATGAAGGGTTATATACTTAAGTTTCTTTTCTGAGGTAGGCTGTTCAATCCTTAAGGAGAGAGACGTTTTTACAGGAGAGAGAGAGAGAGAGAGAGAGAGAGAGAGAGAGAGAGCCTAGTATTATAGCCCAATGCAATGCGACAAAAAATCAAGTGAAAAGACACAATTTTCTGCAATTTACACAAAAATTATAATTATAAGTTGTTTGTCCAATTATGAAGTCTTTCCGTGTTTGTATGTTCTTTGAAGAAAAAACTTACGTGCTGGTTCTGGTGTGAGTTCTGTGACAACAGTCTCAACAGGCGCTGCCGATTCTTTATCGTCGGCAGCCTTCGTAGCCGCTGACTCGCGACCACTCTCCGCCTCGACTGCTGGTGGATCCACCGGAATCATGTACTTCGCAAGGAACGCCGCACGTCTAGCGGCAGCACGCTCGGCCCTACCGGGGTCGGCTCGTTCCCAAGCTTGCTTCATCGCTCGGATCTGCTCGATTCGTTCTGTGTCTTTTTTGATCTCGCAGTCGCCTTGTTGGTTTTCACTTGTGTCGATCACGACTCTTAATAACCAATGAGGTTTTTCGTTGTCGAACTGCTGGCTAATCGGACGACTTTGTGCTCCCTTGGCTGACCTAATGTCATACAAAATTTTTTTCAAGTTTTACAAAAAAAAAATTAGAAAAAATGGCATTTTGATTTCACAGAAACATGGAATATTTTGAGGACCTCTCAGAAAACAGATGAGCTATGTGAATCAAACGTTCAAACGTGTGTTTAATTATTCTGGAAGTACTTTCACCATCAGTCCTCTTAAAAGGTGACAGTATCGAGTGAACCACTACAACTGTTAAATCAAAATTATCAGAATTCCGACCTAAAATACCGAATTTCAATCCAAATCATCACATCACCAGAGTTTCAATAAAAGACACAAAACGTAGGATAAAAAAGACATCACCTTCTGAGCTGCGACCTTAAAATCAAATCAGTTTTGTTAATTTAAATACAAACAGAGAAAATAAATAAGCAACAGTTAGCAGCAATTTTAAACAAAAATGTACCATAAATTATGGGGCAGTGTTTCTAGAAATACGCTTGAAATACAATGATTTATTAGAAAGTTTTACTTTTTTCCTCGCCAGTAGCGGATTCAGGAGGAAGGCGGACGCCCTCCTCTTAGGGATTCGACCCCCTGCCGACCCAAAAGCTCCCCCTTTGTACTATTTTGAGATATCCATTTTTGACTGGCTGACCTTAAAAAATCTCTAAAAGCGCCTTTGGCGCCAATCTATGCTAAATTTGAGACGGGAGCGCGCGCCGAAAAAATTGCAATTTTTGGCCGAAATTTTTTAAAAAGTGCCTAAAAATGCGCAGAAAATTTTGTCATATCAGGGTCTTTATAGTGGTTCAGAAAATCAATTTGGTCCGGCCTGCAAATAAAAAGTCGACAAAATTTTCAATTTTTTTTTGAAAACCCGCCCCTTCTCGAGAAATTCCTAGATCCGCGGCTGCCAGTAGCCATTCCCTTATAAAGTTTGCTAATTGAATCGTAAAGCAAACGAAGACGAATATTAGCCTTTGTAATCAACAATAGCTGCTCCTCTAGCTTTGAGGATAAACAATAAAAGTTATCCCTTTTAGCGCAGACGTAGTGAAGGTTGCCCAGCAATCATATGTTTGCCGGTTCGAAATCACATGCACGATGCAACTTACTCGATAATCTCTTGGAAGTTAGCGACATCTTTGTTGAGCTTTCAAATTAAACTTTTGGAATAGGATTATGACTGTTAAATAAAAAAATCCTTACTTTTCCGGCTTGAGATTCTTTGAAGTAGACTGTTTTGCAGATTTTGCCCCACCTGCCGCATTAGAACGAGAGGAGCCTGGTCTTTCGTCAAAATTAGCTAAAACCAGATCTGTGTCAATGAAAATGAACACATCTTAATCTCACAAGACAAGTTACAAGAGGTAATGCAACAAATAAGTTTACCAAAAAAACGAGCTTTTAATTAACCGTTTGAAATTAATGGTTACTGCTCATCGATACGAATGATAGGCAGACATGACAAGTTAACAACAAGTTACTGTGAAACAAACAGTTAATTTGTATTTTTTGTGCTTTTTACCTTCTTCTGGATCCTTTCGGCCGCGTACTAAATTGAAAATGAATTTGAATTTTGCTTAGAGAGCGATTATTAAGATGAACAGAAGAAGATATTCACCAAGAATATAAGAAAACGCAGACAATTTTTATGAATATGAAACAAAATTTTGTATCTTAGAAGGACACAACGAGATCAGCTGACCTCCAAAATTTACAACTATAAAAAGAACGATCCCGATGTTGAAGAGACCCTCTCAGGCGCGGATCTAGGATTTTCTCGAGGGAGCGGGGGGATTTTCAAAACCGTAGCGAAAATTTTGTCAACCTTTTTTAGTTTGGCTAAACTGATATTTAATGAGCTCTCCCAAATCCTTAAAAAGACTCTTCGCCGTAGGCAAATTTTTAAAAAAAACCAACCAAAAGAAGGGGCGTTTTTAGGAACTATTCGGACAATTTTGACCAAAAAAATGCGTTTTTTGGCACGCGCTCCCCCTCAAATTTAGTATATATTGGCACCGTTAGAAAAATTTTAGGATCAGTCAGCCAAAAATGGATAGATATCTCAAGATAGTACAAAAGGAGGACCCTTTGGGTCGGCAGGGGGTGGAATTCGTGAAAAGAGGCGTCCGCCCAACCTACTAACTACGCTACTGGACCCACTTAATCCAGAGAACATGGGAGAACTACTAAAAACGTTGGCTTAAATTATGCCTTTTTGAGTTAGAGAAACTGTCTTCAACACATTTCCCACGCCTTTTCATCATCTTCCTGCTTTTGCATGAACGTGCGAAACCGATATTCATGATGTCTTTTTGGGGAATTATTAAAATATTATTAATTTCGAATAAGTTAACCATTACGAGGCCAAACAGTGCAATGGATAGGCGCGCAATTTGATGAATGTAGGTCCCTAGAGTCCAGAAAAAAGTCTTTAATGTTGTTCCAAAATTTAAGTGGACAAAATTTCCGAGGATTCCGCGCTCAAATAAATGTAACGTAATTTTAGTCGGCACATTAATTTTGTCGCGGATTCCGCAACAAGCAAATATAGCTAGTTCTTTCGGATTCCGCAAATAAAAGCGGATTCCACTTAGATTTTGGGGATGCCGGCAACAATTTGCGGATTCCGTTTACATTTTGCTGATTCAAATTGCAATTTGAAAATTCCGCTTGCAGTTGCAGATTCAGCGTAATTTTACTATACAAAAATTATTGTTTGTGGATTCCACAAACTTTTCCGGATTGGTTGAGGATTCTACAAATTTGCCTGCTTTTGGAGCGATTTTGAGCAAAACAGCGTTTTAGCATCTTGCTGGTGAAATCCAAATTAGCAAAGAAGATCAAAGAAAACTAATAATGTTGCGTATTCCGCAACAAATTTGTTTTCGATCTGTTGTGGAATCCGATTACAGTTCACAAAATACACAGGTAATGAGCCCTGCTCGGAATAAATTGATCTCTTGAACATGCTCGCTTGGATAATGTCCATAATACAATCAATATACGTGAAAAAAGTAATTAATTTCATCGTTTTATTTCATAAAATATGATTTTCATTCAGTAACATACATCGTTCAGGAGCAGATTTTTTGCCTAATAAAAATTTTGAAGCTTTTGACCTATTGCAAAAATATTCTTTTACCAGCAAAAAGTTTTTTTTCTTTAGACCGTAAAACTCAGTAAAAACCGAAGCAAAAACAGAAAAAACACAATCAAATCTAAACTCATTGTGTCACTTTTCATCCAGTTTATACAAATTTTAGCGACACTTATTTTAGCAGCACGCTTTTATATAAATCGGTTTAAACCAATTTTAATCTACTCTTTTTCATGCTCATACAATTTATATATTCAGATAGAGAAAATTGGAAATAAAACAACAACATAATATTTTCAAATGACTTTTCGTGTTGATGTTTTGACTGAATAAAAAAACAAATGTGTAACAAATTATGTAACATTTTGGCATCAAAATGAAATGTTTCAAATTGAGTTTTTCAAATTTATGTTTATTTGACTAACAAAAATGCATCAAGAACGTTGATAATGGGACTGCATATGAAAAAAGTTATTACTTTTCATCACCGCGGAACCCTTAGATTTGCAAAATTTAAAAAGATTCCCTGTAACTCAATAGTTTGCGGTGACTGCTTTCTGGCGCACTGTTGGAGATTTCTCTTGATTACAGATTTTTGGTCAAGTTTCGAAACAAAAGCACTAGTTAAGTCTAATCCAATTTGTTGACATTTTGATGGGTTTTGATTCAGATCAAATAAATTCAAATTTTTTAGGCTATGGACTCAATTTTTTCTTACCGTTTGTACCAATTTTAAATCAATTTAGGCAAGAGAAAGAACACCAAAAATTGAGTTTTATACTGTATAATAGCAGTATAAAAGTCGATTTTAACTTCAAGTTTCTCAGTGCAGAAGAAAACAACCCCAACGATTTTTTTACATCATGTAATATATTATACATCTTTATCGATCGAGACGGAAAAAACCTAGCTTTGTATGTGAGTGTAATTGATAAACGTAGCATTGATTGGATTCACGGAATCTACTAACTGATTTTCAGAACAAAAAAGCTTAAATTTTTGAACCGGTATGTAGAATGGAGGCATTTTAATGAAGCGCTGAAGAGTATAGAATTCCTTTATAAGACTAATTTAATCTTATGGCAGGTCTGGAAAATTTAACATTTATCTTTTATCACCAAAAAAATATGAGCATAGTTATGAATCTACAAAACATGCAAACCACCATTAGAAAAGTGCAAATCTGATATTAAAACTTTGTATTCTCATTTTAAGTTAACTTTGAAATCCCAGTTAATGCTGTAGGCACCTGTTTGATACTTATTTAATTTGTTGTACTGATAGTGTTGAATATGTAGTTTTGAAAATTCAAAAAGTGGGTTTCAATCAAAATCTTCATTATTTTTCTAATTAAATAAAAATATTTTTTTTTGAAGAAAAAGCTATTTTCCCAAAAATGTAGCATTTTTCTGACAAATTGAAAGGCGTAGCCGCTTATGCACCGAAGCTTCCCACAACCTGTTGCTTCGATGAAACCTTTGATATCAAACAACTTTTTTGTTAGAAAATTTGGACGACGCCGCTTATACAGAAGAGCTTCGATCAATCCTTTTTTTATTGAGCTTAAAATCTAGGATTTGGGATGATAGTTTTCGAGACAAGTCAAAGAAGTTTGAAAAAAAAACGGTCCAAAATCAAATTTTGACTATTCCGAGTGCTATAAAATTTTGAGTAAAAAAGGGCGTAACTTTTATATACAGAAAAACTGTTCTTTCGTTTGAGCTCAAATCTCTGGGGGGGGGGGGTAGTTTAGGAGAAAAAGCAAAAAGTTCCAAAAAATTGAGAAATATTTGACTTTAGCCAAGATCATAACTTTTTATGGAAAAAACTTAGGCAAAATTATCTATGTGTGGGATCTTCAAAAAGCTTTTCTTTTGATTGAAACAAAAATTTCAGATATGGGAGGGTAGTTTTTGAGAAAAACTTCAAAAACGTAAAAAAAACAAAAACTTGAATTTTCTGAAGACCATAATTTTTTCTGTAAAAAATCTTGGATGTAGCCGTTTATTCAGAGGAACTTTCCAACTTCCGTTCTATCCATTGAATTCAAAATCACAGATTCGAGTGGGCAATTTTTGAGCAAATCAAAAAAAAATCCAAAAATAGCGGTCAAAAATAGACTTTAAAAAAAAGAAGTCTGTAGAAAGTGGGATAAAATAAAAAAAAGAGAGACTAGGGGATTATTATACAGGCACTCAAGGAAGTAGGCGGACATTCCATTGGTACTACTTATTATGAAAATAGGTTTTTGAGTAGTTTTTGAGAAAAATTAAAACTTTTGAGAAAAGAGAAAATTTTTTCCAAAGCGCCACAGAAAATAAAATTGAAAAAAAAAAAAAAATAAAAACCCGATCTCATACATTTTCATAATACCTGTTTTAACAAACAGTAGTTTCAACCTTATTCAGCTGACCCAATTTGAATTACTACTATAGTATCATCGCATATCGCCGACTTAGTAAGCTTTTTCCCTTATTTTACCAAGTAAAAACTTTCACCCCTATAAAATACTACTTCGCCATTGAAATTTTGCACATTGAAACGAATCCAAGTTTTCGAGTAAATGAGGAAAAAGTAGCAAAATTAAGTAAAATTTTTGTAAAAAAACATCAGCAATACCTTTCATTTCTTCTTTCTCCTGTTCCTTGAGCATGGCCACGTGCGCCCATGCAGATTGGGAGATGGGCCATGATTTGCGCAACACACGCGCCTGGATAATGTACTTGTGTGGCTAAACAGAAAAAGAACACATTCTTAGCTAGAATCCAGAAGCAGATTGAGAGATATGACATCACCGGAGACTATTCTGATGGCATAGAAGATGTCTTGAGGGATTTTTCTGACATCCCCTTTAAATAATGCAAAGTCAGTTAGCTGACACTAGAATAATTATAATTTTTTCCAAACTGCAAATTAAACATAGCCAACAGATTAACGAAAAAAACTGAACTTTCGGAAATAGAAAAAGCAAATTCGGAAAAAATTTTAACTCTGGATTTCTAAGGAAAAAATCAGCTTAATAAAACAAACCAAACTGAAGAAAATTTGATCAATAGGCAAAATTTTCAATCAATTAGGAAATCTTAATAACAAAAAAATTGAAAAAAAATATACAAGAATTTTGAAGGGGAGCGCGTGCCGAAAATACCGCAATTTTTTTATTAAATTTTTCTAAAAGTGCCAAAAACGGCTTTTTTGACCCATTTTTTCAACAATTAGCCTGCAAAATAGGGTCTTTTGGTGTCAAAATAGGGTCTTTTTGTGTTCTGGGAGTGCTCAAAAAATCATTTTGATCATCGACCAAAAAAAAGGTCGGGGAAGTTAAAAATTCGAAATTTGCCCGGAGAAAAAACAACCCGAGCTCAAATACTCCGTCAAAAGTCTTCAAAATTCTGAACAAAAAAAACCAGCCCCAGCATAATTAATTCGTCACTTTCTTTAACATTCAGAACAATTATCAAGGTTGCCCAGATAGCGCAGCATGTTTTTTTAATTTTTAACTCTCGCCTTTGTTTCCGGCTCCGCTTCTTTCTCAGCGGGAGCTGATTGGTCCGCCGCAATCTGCACTTCGGTCGCCTTCTTGTTTGCACTCGCTTTTCTATCTCCCGACACTGAACGTTTAGTCTTCGACGCTGAAAAATACAAACCAAATATTTAATTAATGAAACCAAATTTTCTTGATTATTTCGCGGATAAGCACGCAAACAAGCAACTCGACCACAGTGAGCTTTTCTCGGGCATTATTTTGCATATAAAAGATTTTTGTACAAAAATTCGGATAGACAGAATTACTTAAAACAATCAAAAAGAAAAATTTGTTGATTTCGAAGAAAATTTGATTTAATATTTCAAATTTGTAAACTTGAAAAATAATTATGTCTGCAAATTAAAACTTTCTAGAGTAGGTTATTTGTTCTTTCAAATTCATTCTGACTATTCTAACTTTTTACAACTCTATAATCATGCCAATGATTGGTGTCTTTGGATCTAGTGTGCAAGCTAACAAACCATTTTTAGGATCCACGGCTGAAAGAAAACAACAAAATACAATATTTGTTACTAGATATTTGTACATCATCAACACTAAAAATTGTGTTAAAATCAGTTGTTTAATTCAAGGTGTTAATGAGTGCTCAACAAAATTATTGGAATTGTTTTCGGATAAAATTAAATTCTTAAAACGGGACGAAGTGAGGTTTTAAAGGAAAACAAATTAAACAGCATTCAACATGGGCAGGCAATTAAAAAATTATTGTAACTTAGAAGAAAACAGAAAAAAATTCAATACAAGGATGTAAGACAAGGGCTGTTTTACTTAAGAAATATCAGAGAAATTACGCAAGAATCAAAAATGGAAGGAAAGAAAAGTTGAACAAGGATAGCCGATTACTGTGCATTTGGCACAGAATATTCCGATCATGGTCTTTGAAAAACTACAATTTTTTCAAATTAGTGTAAAATTTTCTGCGTTGTGTGAACAAATGATCTGACGTGAGACAATTAAATAAGCATACTCGACAGTCATAGTAATATAAGCAAACAGGACAAGAGAATTTGAAGAAAAATTACTAGAAAAACAATTCAAAAAATTTAAAATTTTTTTTTTAAAATTCAAATTTTTTCTCATTTTTTTTGCAAAAAAACTATTTACAGTTTTGAAGTTTTTGATTCTCAAAATTGCATCAGAAGGTCAAAATCAAATTTCAATTGAGTAAATTTGAAATTAAGCATAAATAAGATATTGTATACTGCCTAAATTAAGCGTAAATAAACGTGCTCGCTCATTTTTACTCGCTCGATTTTAACGAAAAATCAAAACGGAATTTAAACGAAGAAGTTCAGACCGATTTTCTCGATACGGGAAAACTTTTCTCAAATTTTTCAAGAATGTTCGAGTCACGACTGAAAGAGCTTTAATAAGATATATCACTCAGCTCACTCCGATGATTCTTTGTGGTAGCTAATTTTGCGTAAAAAAAAGAAAAAAAAACTAAAACAAACCCGAATACAAAGTTTCTCTCCATTTTCAAATGGTCGGAACAACAAAGATAGCCGGTTAATGTGCTACTAGCAAAGAATGTTCGGACCATAGTCTTAAAAATTACAACCAAAATGTTTTTTCAATTTAAAGGCGTTTTTTTTCGGCGTGTTGTGATAAAAGGAGCTGAACAAAAAAACTATTACGAAGCTGAACAAAGGAGCTGAACAAAAAGATTAGGAAAATTTGACAGTAATAACAATAAGCAAAATCAAAATCAATTGTTGTGGAAAAATGACTAGAAAACCGAATAAAAATTGCGAAAAATGTTTTCATTTTTATTGCAAGTTTTTTATTTCAAAAAGGCGCTGAAATACTCGAAAAAACTAATGTTATTCAAGTAAATTTAAGTTTTTGCGTATTAAATTAAGCTATTGAAAGCTTTTAGGTCATTAAAATAAGCTATTGCAAGCCTGCTCGCTCGCTGTATTTGCTGGAATTAAGACAGAAAACCAAAACTTTCAAATCGGTTTTTCTCGACACTGGGAAAACTTTTTGCCATTTTATTGTTATTTGAATCACGACTGTAAGGACGTTGATACGATATATCACTTAATTCTCCGATGATCATTTGTGACAGCTGATTGCGAGCGGAAATAAAAAAACTAAAACATACCTGAATATAAAGTTCCTCCCAATTTTTCAAATGATCGGAACAAAAAAACTAAAACACACCAGAATACAAAGTTCCTTCCCATTTTTCAAACGGTTGTCGGAACAACAAGCTTTTGTATCTCCTATTATCAACAATTTAAGAATTTCAAGGAACTACTAAATTTCAAAATTTCCATTAGCTCATCAAAAAGGCGCTAGAATTTGTAAAGATAAATAGTTGTATTGAAGACACGTTGGATCTACGCGGTCAATTTTTGAGTGCATAGGTATTAAGAAACTGAAAAACTTTCAAAACGATTTTTCATTACAAATTCAGGAAAATTTCGAAAATTTCCGGCACAAATCGAATGGAATTCAGAATCAAATTTCTAATTTTATTTCTTAGAGGTTGCAACAGAAATAAACTTATCAACAATCTGCTGATAATTTGGTAACTTTTCACCAACGATACAAATTATAACTAAACATGACAAATTAACAAAAAGTTACTGTGAAGCAAACAGTTACATTTTATTTTTTGTGCCTTTTACCTTCGTCGGGGTCCTTTCGGTCTACCACTAAATCAAAAAGAAATGAGGACTTTTTCTTCTAAAAAAGTAATTAACCTGAAAAAAAAATGTTCGTGAACATTAACTTACTCACTTAAAAGCCCTCGGTTGAATCTGTTATCACAAATACAAATAATGAGGCAACTACAAGATTAATTTTGCACATTTGCGAGGGTTCTAAAATGGATTCAATTGGATAATCAAGCTATAGTTAGAAAGATTCGGATCTCGATGACTCACATGCGCCCCTGCTTCCGCCAGACGAAGAGGAAGAGTCACTGTGGAATATAAATGCAGGAAGGACAGTGTGTCCCTTTCCTCTGGACGACAACAACACCTGCTCGTGGTCCAGGATCTCCAGTTCAATGTACACATCTGATTTGGAAGTCTGCAGCTGGAAACTCAACAGGTGGTCTTCTGTCACCTTCACCGAGTACCTAGAATGGAAAACAGAGAAATCGGTCTACATCAGTTACAATGGATGGGGGGTTACTGTTATCGATATATTTTGGGATGGCAAACTCTGATTGCACATAAGAAATTATTTTATTACGAGGAAGATGTTGATATTTATGAAGAAAAATTTCTTGAAAAACTTATGGAGAAAAACATTTTTAGACAGAAAACTCATAGCAAAAATTTGGATCAAATGTTGCGTTTTGGATCAGACTTTGATATTAACGATCAATTGTTTTATGAACTTTGTTTTCAAAATTTATATGAAAATAGACTCAAAATTTCTCTTCGCAATTCTGTTACCTGAATACAATGTTCTTCTCATTTGGCACGTAGTAGTCTTTAATTTCCCTGGTGAAGAAACTCGAGTTCAGATTGGAGTTCACCTCCCCTGCACCAATTGGGGTGGGAAGGGGGGCCTGGTTGCCAATCAGCCGCATCCTCCATCGTCCATTAGCCACTGGGAGGTCGGTGGTTCTGGCCTCACAGAAGAACGTGTAGCCCTTCTGGAACAGGGCACAAAAGGAAATAGTTATTTAGTTTTCAAAAGCTTGTTTAAAAGGGGTCGCGCAAAACTCAATCCTTTAAAACTTTGCTTAGCCCAGTGAAAATCAAAATTTTTACATCAATGAAGAAAATTGAAAATTGACCGACAAAAAGATTTCGAAAAAAGTCTATAGTGTTCAAAAAACCGCTTTTTTCCAGGTGTTTTTTTAAACAAACGCACCCTTTATATACATTGAGCTTTTGACTTTCTGTGCCATTCGAATTTATACAGACCCTAATTAACTAATAATTTCTGCTAATTGTGTACTTTATGGGAAAAAGTTACGCTTGCACTCGCATCAAAAACTTACTCACTAAGACCGTACTTAAAAAAATAAAACAATGGACAATTTCGTTGACATCGAACATGCCTGGTTTTTAGTGAAAGTGTATGGTGCGACACGCATGAACACTTTGGGTATCTCTTTGCCTGTATCGTTGTCCACCACTCTGAGGAAGGCGGTATGAATGGAGGAGGTCAGTTTGGGTACCAGCAAAACGGGGTCTTCCACTGTGAACACCGATCTGTAGAGAAAAAAGGGTGTTTTAAATTCGTTAATTTTTGCAATTAAACTTTGAAAAAGCGAGAATCCAAATTCAAATTGCTGCGAATATTTTTTGAAAAACGATTATTCGTTTCAAAATCCGAGCATTTTGGTTTTCAAGAAGCTCCGAAATTATATACTTCACCGAAAGTTACAATTAAAATTGTTCTACAACTATTTACTTGGGTTAAACTTGGACCAATTTACACAATTCACACTGGCTTCTCATCATTAAAAATCACAACGATGAAGGAAAAGAAACCTTATTTGAGGCGACTCTGGAAGAAGAATATATTTTTTATATTTGAAACATACAGTGTCACTGACCTGAACAGGACAAACCACGTGGACGAAGTCTGCTCTCCGAACTGGCCAGTGTAATCTGCATATGCTATCTTGGTCCACTCATCCGAGGAGAACGGGAACCTCTGCAGCTGAGTTGGATCCAGTCGGAACATGGCCCTGAGAAGGGTGAGGCCACAGGTGTCCATGTTGTTCTCAAGGAATGACCATACTTTTTGGAGTTGTTCACGTGCTTTGTTGTGTTCAGTGGAACCTGCAAAAAGGATTCGTGAAAAGCAGTCTGAGAACATTTTAGCATGCTGAACTTTTTGGTGGTTGTTATTTAAAATATTTCATTTGCATTTTGCTTGAGCTTTAAGTTTTTCTACAAATGAGAAATTTATTGGAGCTTGTTTCGAGACAAAAATGGGCCTTAAAAACTTTTGTCGACGAACTCGCCGAATTTTCAACATACCAATTTCCCTGGACGCAATCACAGCCCTAGTGTAGAATCCCTTCCAGGCACTCTGAATCGTAGAAACAGAGCCCAGTTCTTCATCTGTGGGATCTCTCTCTTTCCAGATATCCAGGGCACTGGTGGTCGATTTACCTGCAATGAGTCAAAAGCTCAGAGAAAATGGCAGTCGAAGTTAAGGTTTTCTTAGCTAAATGCTTTTAGAATCAAATGACTTTTCTAGTGGCACATGAAAACTTTAACTTCTTTCAACTGTTTCGACTAGTTTCAAATATCAACAGATGAATAATGAAAAAACGACCCAATAGATAACATTGACAATGTTTTCAAAGTTTAGAGGTGAGATCAGATTTGAAGTTTTTTCAGATTTGGAACAGCGACAGTTTGAAGAGGAGACACCGGGTACCTCAGATTTGTCTGACATCGCCCTGCAATTTGAGGATTTTGTAAGTTAATTAAGAAAATCGAATAACTATGCGATGCCGTAGCTCATACACAAGTATCAAAACGAGCATTTTTATGAGTTTAGACAACGACTTTGTCTAACTGCGAACTTTTGTTAGTTTTCAGATTATTTAGCTATAGAAAAATTCAGCCAAACTCTCCAAAAGAAACTTCCGTAAGAAAGTTTTTTTTTCAGTTTTCTTCAATTTACAATCACGGTTAAATATTCTACGTTAGCAGTTATTTAAGTTAGTAGTTAATTATGCGCATAATCAAACTTAGGGTTACCCAGTTGAAACAACGGGGAGGATAATGAGGGCGCGGACGAAACACTTATTTTCTTCAAATGAGGCACATTATGGCCAAATTTAAACACCGATGATTTCCTCGGAGTTCGAGGAAGTTGGTTAGCACGCGCTGATTCTGAAATTGCATCAAACCAGAAAATTAAATTCTTCTTTAAGCCAAAGTCAAATATTCACAAAAACATTATATTAGCTGTGTAAAAAATAAGCTTCTGTTAGTTTGCACGCGATTCGCAAACAAGCGCTGATGAGATCTAAAAAAACAATATGGTAAAGTTTAGTTCTGTCTTAAGCCGATTTTAGTATTAGCGATTAATTTTTAGCGTTTGCTTTGGTGAGCCGATATTTTAAGATCGGTTTTGCAACTCGTAGGGTACAGACACACGCTGTCAACCTTGATCGGCAGCGGGCGCGGTGGCTCCCTTGCCTCCGGCCTTGGATTCTTTTTTGCCGTCCTTTTTGTTTCCGGTTTGTGGCGGAGGCGGGGCAGGCTCCCCTTCATCATCTGATTAATTGACAAAGTTGATCTGACATAAGACATTCAATTTCATGTATGAGTTTATACAAAAACAAATGGCATGGAACCTTTTTTCATCTGGAAAAAAATAGCTGAGTCATTACCATTTGTATTGATGGTTTAAATTTTCAATTTATTGTTACTGCATGGCAATAATTGTTTCACAGGTTAAACTAATTAATAATTCTTAATTATTAACTTCCCATAAACTGTGATATGGCCGCGAGAAACTTCTAGAATGAGTGAACTAAATGATTTGAAAAACTGTAAAATTCGCAGCTTTGTGAAACCTTTGCGTGCAACTTGCCTTTCAATGGATCTAAAAAATATATTGAATTTCAAATACGGAAGAATTACGAGACCAGACCCATTTTGAAGGGAATTTACTGTACTACAAAATGACACGGGCAGCGATGATGATTTCTTACTTTTCGAACGAACGGAAGTCTTTGACCTTTGTGAGGTCATGGCTAAATAAAACAACTTTTTCAACACATGAATCAGAACACCTGATTTTTTATAACAAGCAGTGATTGAAGCATGAACACAGAATATCAAAGGAGTATTTTACCAGGGTTCTTCCTGCCGACAGCCGCTTCCATAACAGACTCAGTTTGAAGGTCACATGTCAAACATCTGAGACCAAAGACAGCATCAGAGGTCAAAGCATCGCCCATCAGGTCACCAACTGTCATGTAAAATGCCTTGCGGAACACCTTTAAAAAAATTGTTGCAATAAAAAAATTTTCTCTTCTAGCTATGATGTACTACTGGACACTCTCGGCTCTACGTTTGATTAATAACATGGTAGCTCGCAAATCCAAACTTTTTGAGATCCCATCTAAATGAATAATTTTTAAACATGAATTATCATTAAACCGATTGCATTTAGTAATATTGCATCATAAACGTAAAAAAGATAAGACTGCTTGTATCAAGGAAACGTTTCAAATGCTCCCGGATGCCGTTTACCTTGTCTCGGATAACTTTTGTCGAGAGAAAATTTTGATAGAGCAGTAAAAATTAAAATTAGAAACGTTTTGTCCGTTTTTTTTGCCACACCTTCCCACAGCCAACACCGAGTACTAGTTTGAGTCTTTTAAGAGAAAAATGATCACTTAGTCGCTTGCAATCACTGAATTGACTATAAATTTGTAGGTTGAATAATTCGCCGCGGTTAAACAACGCGCTCTTACGCGTTGAGCAACATAGACAAATTCAAAAAAGCGCGCATAATTATAATTAGCCTAAAACTTGGCCATTTTTAACCCCCAGAACTTAACCGAAAAAAATCTCAACTGAAAACTCTTTGAACTCGGGAAATCGTCATTTTTAGTGAAAAACAAAAAATCTGTTGAAAACTTCTATTTCAATCGCCGAAATTGATCAGATAAAAACTCAAAAAAAAAACCGTTTGCTGAGCAAATCGCAGAGAAATTTGGGACTACAGTTATTTAAACAAAGCAAAAGCAATAAGAAAACAAGGATAGCCGATTACTGTGCAAGTAGCACAGAATGTTCCGACCAAAGTCTTATAAAAAACAACAAAGAATATTCAATTTATTGTCGTTTTTTTTCGACGTGGTGCGATAAAAGGAGCTGAAAAAAAATGGAGATTAGGTAAATTCGACAGTCATAGTAAAATAAGCAAAATGAAAAAACAATTTTTGTAGAAAAATTACTTGAAAACAAATTTCCTGAAACACTCACAGTAAACTAACGTTTCTCAAGTAAAACTAAGTTCTTACGTTTTAGATTAAGTTTTTCAGCAATTAAAACAAGACTGCTCGCTCGCTTTATTCGCTCGAAACAAATTGAAAAACTAAAAATTTCAAAATTTCAAAGATGATTATTTGTGGTAGCTGATTTTGCGTGGAAAACAAAAAGAAAAAAACTAAAACACACCCGAATACAAAGTTACTCCCCATTTTCTATGTTCGGAACAATAAAAATTCTTTTTTCCTATTAGTAGGCGGGGGTGGGATGAATTACAGATTGAGGAAGTAATTATAGCTAAAACGATTCAAAAGGCCTAAAAAATGCAGAAAAAAAGAACAAAACTGCTCGTATCAGGGCGAAGCCCTGAATGTTCCGACTGCCTTTTAAAATTTGTGGAGCAGCAGTAATAACATAAAAAAATTAAATGAAATAAAATAAAATGAAATTTTTTTTTTCAAATTTGAAATTTTTTATGAAAATCATACCCCCAAACGCCATATAAAGTACAAAAAGAGAGATTTAAATAACACTCCGCTTACGCGTTAATAGCGCGAATTATATCGCGCGTTAATTGTCCCAAATTGGTCAAAATGGCAATCTTTAAACCCTCATAAATTTACGAAAAATGATCACAGGTGAAATATTTTTTCAAATTTAAGCTCAGGACACCAATAACTTTTGAATGATATAAAAAATTCCGTCAAAAATGGCTAGTTAAAAAGTCGAAATTTGTCTGAAGAAAAAAAACCCACCCCGAGCACAAATATTCCGTTACTTTCGTATCGAAAGTCAGAACAATAAGATGAAACTCATTCATCTCACTCATTCTTATGAGCAAAACTTAGGAAGTATTGTAGCCAAATGCCCGTTCAGTTTGAAGAAGACAATTCGAGAAAGCCATAAGCTAACATTGAATGTTAATGAGCTAAGCCAAAAACTTTCCCCACCGTCCCCACCCGCTCAAGCAAACAGACGTTAAAACCAATTGTGCTCTTCAAACAAAGCAATGTAAAATGGCCAAGCCGATATGAGATAATTCAATAATTTTGAAGCCTGACATGCATAGCCGGTTACTATGCAAAGTTTTTTCAAATTAACGCCGTAAAAACGGAAAAATTTGTAAAAATTGTTTTCTTTTTTTTTTCATTTTCGAAGTTTTTAATTCATAAATAGGCGATAATTCACAAAATGACGACGCTTTTCTTGCTTAAAAAGAAAAAAATAAGATAACAAACTGAAAGAGGAGTTTTCTGCACGCTCACCTCACTAGCTCGGAATAAAACTAAAAATCAATTTCAAACCAGTTTTTCTCGACACTGAGAAAACTTTTTGAAGTTTTTAATCGTAGTTCAAACTACAGTGCTGATTTAAATTAACCGGACAAAACGCGTTAAACTTGAAATTTAAAACGCATTTTTCTCAAATTGGGTTGAGTTTAGGTGAAAACTTAAGAAGACAAAACTTGCTTAAAATTTCGGCAGAATTAATATGGTGTAATTTGTTTTGCGAAAATTTACCTCGAAAATGGGTCATTTTGGCTTTTCTTAGTTAATCAAAAATTACGCCAGAAAAACCCAGTCGATCACAGACATAATTATATCAAAGTGAGCCCCTTACGTAGCCCAACAAACTTTAAGCAGGATATAATCTCCAAAATATTGTAGAAGTTAATTTATTTTTGTTTGATAGACAAAAAAGGTCGTTTTTACTATATATAATACCAACTTTTTATTTAAAAACTATTTTTAAACAAATTGCAATTTTTTTTGGAGAAAATACCCTTCATAAAGTTTGTTGGGCTGCGTAAGGGGCTCACTTTGATATAATTATGTCTGTGATCGACTGGGTATTTTCGGCGTAATTATTGATTAACTAAGAAAAGCCAAAATGACCCATTTTTGGGGTTAAACTTCGGGCCCGAATTTCGCAAAACAAAATAATTCTGCCAAAATTTTAAGCAAGTTTTGTCTTCACAAGTTTTCACCTAAATTCAACCCAATTTGAGAAAAACGGGTTTTAAATTTCAACTTTAACGCGTTTTGTCCGGTCAATTTAAATCAGCACTGTACTACTGAAAGGGCATGATAAATCAATCAATTTATTCCGATGATTATTTGTGGTACTTGATTTTGCGTTAAAAAAACGGGAACACCTAGATGCAAAGTTCCTCCACACTTTCAAAGTTCGGAAAACATTTTTAAGCTAAAAAGATTAAAAGTAAAAACGGAAAGTGAACAAGTGACACGGCTTAAATCAAAAATCACTTCATTCGTAACATAAGAACAACTTTCAAAATACTCTATTTCATATTAGCTACCTTAATTTGTACAGTTCAAAAGACCGAGAATCAATCCGGAAATTCAGAAAATCAGTGAAATTAACATCAAATTGATGCTGAGAAAAAACCACAATTAACATTAAAATGCAGCTAAAACGGCCAAACTGAACAAAAACCTTAAGCAGAATCATATTGAGTTTTTGAGAAGGAGACCGGAAAAAGAGCCAGTAAGAAACAAGAAGATTAGCGATAAACCAAAAAATAAGAAATCAGCTATGTATGCAGAACGCAATACAAAGGAGGCGAAGCGGAGAGTCACGTCAATTGTGATATAACACACACAAAAAACGACAGCTAACCAAAAAAAATAACACAAGAGCCACTGAATCAGAAAAACTTGAAAATCAAATAAGCAGAACGAAACACGAGACAAACTTGTCGAGAAAAACAATTCCCAGTGTTAAGGGAAAATGAAATCAAATTTTATCCAGTGGTTTCTATGCATACAGTACTTGGGCAGACAAATGTTGCCTTCAAAAAAATGGGCAGAAAAACAAGCTATATTTTAATTTTTTGAAGCTACAAGTTTTTACAACCCTCCTGATGCCAAACAAATGTAAACAAAGTTATGCCCTTCAAATGACGCACTATGAAACGAACCGACATAAAATAGGCCGCAACAATTCAAATCAAAGAAACTTCGAAGCGAAAATTACTCCAAAGGCTATCATACAAAATCAAGCAGGATTAAATCAAAGGGTATTTCAAAAGTAGTGAAAAAAGCCAAAATCAGAAAAAAACCTCAGACCGAAAACTCCGGTAAAAATACGCAAACAAAAGCTAGTGCGATCATTAAATTTTTTCGAGAATTCTTTCTCATATTGAAAAAAAAACATTGACTTCAGGCTGGAATAGAATCCAGCAGCTTGTTCTTCCCAAGCATAGTTGTCAATATGCGCAAAAACAGTCATTGGATTCAAACTTTTAATGAATCAATACATCTCACCTACGAACTCTTCAGTTGGCAAAATTTTCAACCGGAAAAATCTTAATGCCCGATTACAATACCGTTGCTAACCACAAGGGTAAAAAAGTCTGACCAAGATTCGAACTATAAAATTGTGTCGAACAAGACAGATTAGTTACTTATGGGCCTGAAACGAAAAATTCATCTTAAACCAAATCCTAGGTAAAATTGCCATACTTGATTATTTTTACTATTTTGGGAACGGAAAAAATTCCTAGGTTGTAATACCCTAATTAATCGCAAAATGACTATTTTATGCGAATCGGATTCGACAAAAAAACTATTCGTTTTATAACGCATTGCTTGCAAGCTGGCAAGCGTAATTATATTGCAGTATAAAACTTATTTTCATATCAAAACGTTTTCTCATTTTCTTTTCTTTCAGCCAGATGTAAAAAAAAATTCAAATGAATTTTTCATTGGAGCTCAAACTACGCGTTTAAAACACTTGAATACCTTACTTTATCTAATTGCCAGTTTTTCAAGAAAAAAACAGAGTGAAGACAAACTCAGTTGATACTGAAGTTCTCTTCTTCTCCGTGTTTGATGTAAACTGCAACTATTTTTCTGACCATTGACAAGAGGAACTTTGGATTCGGGTGTTATTTTTGTTTTTCACACGAAAACAGGTACCACAAATAATCATCGGAATGTGTTGAGTTATATACTATATCCAAGCCCTTTTAGCCCTG